GCTATGCCACTGGTATTTTAAATACCAGCAGGGTCACCCATGGTGGACAGGTTTCAGATGAACTTCCAGACAAAGACAGAATAGCAAGATGGAGTGATGAATATTTAGTCACTGAATCTACTTCCGAATAATTAGTCACTGAAAACCTAATGAATAGCAGAGAAACACTGTCAGATATAGTGCCAGAAAATGAGCTCCTCAGGTTTGAAGGCACTCAAAATGTGACTGGGGAAGAGCTGCCTCCTAAATGTAGATTTTACCATGATGACATGAATAGAGTTAAGCTAGGGGGAGAAAAGCCCACGGGACTTTCATTTGCTGATGGGATACAACTCAAAATAAAGAGAAACAGCTGTAAACATCCATTGAAAATCAGAACATGGAATGTACAAGGTATGAATCTGGGAAAATTGGAAGTTGTCAAAAATGAAATGGAATGCATAAACATCAATATATTAGGCATTAGTGAGTTGAAATGGACTGGTATTGGCCATTTTGAATCTGACAAGCACATGGTTTACTATGCCGGAAATAAAAAATTGAAGAGGAATGGTGTTGCTTTCATTGTCAAAAAGAACATATCCAGATCAGTCATGAAGTACAAATCTGTCTGTGATAAGATAATAGCCATGTGCCTACAAAGAAAACTAGTTAATACCACTATTATTCAAAATTATGCACCAATCACTAAAGCCAGTGAGAATTAAATAGAATTTTACTAACTTCTTCAATCTGAAATTGATCTAGATGTATTGACCATTACTGGCAATTGGAAAGCAAATGTTGGGAGCAAAGAGGAAAGATCAGTACTTGGAAAATATGGCCTTGGTGATAGAAATGATGCTGGAGAATGCATGATAGAATTCTGCAAAATCAATGCTTTGTTTATTTCAAATACCTTCTTTAGACAGCATAAGAGATAACTATACACATGGACCTCACCAGATGGAATACATAGAAATCAAATTGACTACATCTGCAGAAAGAGACGATGGAAAAGCATCTTACCATCAGTGAAAACAAGGCCAGGGGAAGACTGTGGAACAGACCATCAATTACTCATAAGCAAATTCAAACCGAAGCTGAAGAAAATGAAAACAAGTCCACCTAACAACAATAACAACAATGCAACATTGGAAGTGATTGACTATGCAAAGAAATGCGGAAGAAATGTCCCTTGCCAAATGATAGTAAGAGATTCATATCTGTGCCCATTCCAAAGAAATGTGACCCACCAAAATGTGGGTATTATAAAAAAAAAAAATCAATAAAATAAAATGGAAGTAAAATTTTGCTACACAACTTGTCTGTCAGTTTGTCTTACTGTGATTACTTGTATGTTACCATGACGTTGGAAGCTAGGCCTCTCAAACTTTAAATATTAGCAGGGCAACCCCACAGAGCAAAGATTTCACATGAAGATTTCACAGTGAAGACAGACTAGAAAGAAGGATATGTGAACCACTTCTGGATATTTAGTTATTGAAAACTTTATGAATAACAGTGTAACATTGCCTGCATCAAATATGAAACATGATGAAAAGAAGCAGAATATTGTCAGATATAGTGCCAGAAGATGAGTCCTGCATATTGGAAGGCACTCAAAATATAACTGGGGAAGAGCTGCCTCCTCAAAGTAGAACAGTGATGACGTGACTGAAGAAAAGCCTTAGGGAGCTTGTGGGGCACAGCACAAAAAGAAGAAAAAAGGCTGTAAATAGCAATTAATAACCAGAACATAGAATCTAAGACATATAAAACTAGGAAAATTTAAAGTCATCAAAAATGAAATGGAATGCATAAACATTGATATTCTAGGTATTAGTGAGCTGAAATGGACTGGCATTGGCCATTTTGAATCTGAGAATCACATGATTTACTATGTCAGGAATAACAAATTGAAGAGGAATGGAGTCATTCATCATGAAAAAGAACATATCAAGATCTGTATTGAAGTACACTGTCTGTGATAGGGTAATATCCATATACCTACAAGGAAGACCAGTTAATACCACTCTTATTCAAATTTGCACATCAACTACTGAAGCCAGTAATGATGAAATTGAAGAATTCTACCAACTTCTTCAGTCTGAAATTGATAAAACATGCAATCTAGATGTATTGACAATTCTTGGAAATTGGAATACAAAGGTTGGAAATAAAATTGGAAAACATGGTCTTGGTGATAGAAACGATGCTAGAGATGGCATGATAGTATTTTTCAAGACCAATGACTTCTTCATTGTAAATAACTATCTTATACAACATAAAAGATGACTTACACATGGACCTTACCAGATTGGGAAAACAACAACAACAAACAAACCAGAAAACTAACAGACTACGTCAGTGGGAAAAGATGGTGGAAATAATTCATATCATCAGCCAAAAACATGGCTGGGGCAGATTGTATTTAATTTCATTTTTGACATCTTCAAATTTTCCTAGCTTTATACTTTGTATATTCTATGTTCTGGTTAATAATTGTTATATACAGCCTTTTCTCTTTTATCAGACAATCAATTGCTCATATGCAAATTCAGACTGAAGTGGAAGAAAATGAAAACAAATCCACGAAGGCAAAATATGACCTTGAATATATCTCACTTGAATTTAGAGATCATCTGAAGAACAGATTTGACACATTAAACACTAAAGACTAAAGACCAGAATAATTGTGGGATGACATCACGAACATCATACAGGAAGAAAGTAAAAAGTCATTAAGACGAAAGAAAGAAAAGATCAAAATGGATGTCAGAATAGACATTGAAACTTGCTCTCCAGCATAGAGATGCTAAATCAAATGGAAGAAAAGAAAAGGTATAAGAGCTGAATAGAAAATTTCAAAGGTCAGCTCGAGAAGACAAAGTCAAGTATTACAACAAAATGTCTAAAGATCTGGAGTTAGAAAACCAAAAGGGAATAACATGCTCAGCATTTCTCAAGCTGGGGGAATTGAAGAAAACTTTAAGCCTTGACTTTCGTTATTGAAGGATTCTCTGGGAAAATTATTGAACGATGCAGAATGCATCAAAAGAAGATGGAAGAAATACAGAGTCACTGTACCAAAAGGAAATGGTTAATATTCAACCATTTCAAGAAGCAGCATATGATAAAAAGCCCATGATACTGAAGGAAGATGTCCAAGGTGCACTGAAGGAATTGGCAAAGGAAAAGTCACCAATAATTGATGGAATAAAAATAGAAAATTTTCAAGAAAGCAAGGCAGTACTAGAGGGGCTCACTCACTCATCTATGTCAAGAAATATTGAAGACAACTATCTGGCCAACTGATTGGAAGAGATCCATATCCGTGTCCATCCCAAAGAGAGGTGGCTGAAAGGAATGAGGAAATCATCCGACAATATCTCTGATATACCATGTGAGTAAAGTTTTACTAATTATAATATAGAAATGTCTGCAAGCATACATTGACAGAGAACAATGTACTCCGGAACACTTAATTGTGCTCATGAGGAATCTGTATATGGACCAAGAGGCAGTTGTTCAAA